ATGGGTTAAGAGAGGCTAATCTTCAAATGAACTCTCAATTTAGATTAAGTCTCAAAATCCAAGATGTTCATTTGATTGTGGCTTTTTGTCAATTTGTTCAATATCATTAGTTGTGCTTCATGGCAGAATCTGATGGAGAAATCCAAACAGGTAATGAGCAGCATCCAATTTGCATGTAAGTCAATTATTTTAGAGAAAATATTAATTAAAAGAACTGGTAAGTTAATTTAAATCAAGCAAGACCAAGCCTCAAAATTGTGCCTAAATCCCTACCCTACTTTTATATTTCTGAACACAATATTGAAATCTGCAATTAATATTTATGCCAGGATAATGAATTATGATTCACCTGCAGAATTTTGAACTAAATCATTCACAACTACAGATGGATTTTATTTAAACAAGCTCATGTAAACCAGTATATTTCATGAATATGATTAAGTATATTTTACAGATGAGAGGGCTGGAGCTAGTGAGTACACAAAAATGCATAAAGAGTGATATCCTAGGCATTAGTGTGCTGAAATGGAATGGTTTTGGCCATTTTCAATCAATCATTTGGTCTACTATAGCAGGATTGACACATTGAAAAGCAATGATGTTGAATTCATCCTCAAGAAGAATGCTCCAAGATCTATGCTGAAGTACAATGCTGACAGTGAAAGGATAATATCCATAAGCCTGTAAGGAAGACCAGTTAATACTACCATTATTCAAGTTTATGTACCAACTACCAAAGATGAAGAATTTGAAGATTTTTACCAACTTCTGCAGTCTGAAATTGACCAACAACATAAATGGTGGCTACACCTGTGGGCATCAGCAGATAGAATACATCAGGAACCAGATTGACTACATCCACAGAAAGAAGCAATGGAGAAACGGATTATCTTCAGCCTAAAACAAGGCCAGGAGCTGACTGTGGAACAGACCATCAACTGCTTATATGCAACTTCAAGTTGAAGCTGAAGACAATTAAAAGAAGTCCACAAGATCCAAAATATTACCTTGATTATATCCCACCTGAATTTAGAGACCACCTGAAGAACAGATTTGACATATTGAACACCAATGACCAAAAATCAGAGGAATTGTGAGATGACATCAAGAACATCATCCATGAAGAAAGCAAAAGGTCATTAATAGGACAGGAAAGGAAGAAAAGACCAAAATAGATGTCAGAAGAGACTCTGAAACTTGCCCGTGAACAGAGAGTAGCTAAAGCAAATGAAAGAAATAACAAGATAAAAGAGCTGAACAGATTTCAAAGAGTAGCTCAAGAAGATAGAGTTAAAACGAAATGGGAAAAGACCTAGACTTAGAAAACCAAAGAGAAAAACATGCTCAGCATTTTTCAAGCTGAAAGAAATGGAGAAAAAATTCAAGCCTTCCATTGCAATTCTGAAATATTCTATGGGCAAAATATTGCAGGAAACATCCAAAGAAGATGGAAGGAATAAATACAGTCACTGAACACACACACACACACACAAATTGGTCGATGTTTAACTATTTGGCATATGAAGAAGAACCAATGATACTGAAGGAAGAAGTTGAAACTTCACTGAAGGAACTGGCACCAAAAAAAAAAAAACACCAAAAGGACATGGAAGAAATATACACAGACATTGTACCAAAAAGAAATAGTTATTGTTCAACCATTTCAGGAGCCAGCATATGATCAAGAATACATGATATTGAAGGAAAATTCTAAGCTGCACTCATGGCATTGGAGAAAAACAATGTCCTAGCAATTGATGGAATAACCACTAAGATATATCAACAAATGGATGAAGAACTGAAGGTACTCAATCATTATACAAAGATATTTGGAAGACAGATACCTGGACAACCAACAGGAAGAAATCCATATTTGTGCCCATTCCACAGAAAGGTGATTGAACAGAATGCAGAAATGATCAAACAGTATAATTATTACCATATACAAGTAAAATTTTGCTGAAGATAATTCAAAGAAAGTTCCAGCAATACATTAACAGGAACAGCTAGAAATTCCAACTGGAATCATAAGAGGGAATGGAATAAGGGTTATCATTCCTGATGTCAGATGCATCATGATTGAAAAAAATGAATACCACAAAAATGTTTACCTGTGTTTTATTGACTGTGTAAAAACATTTGACTGTGTGGATCATGACAAATTATGGATAACATTGTGAAGAATGAGAATTCCGAACACTTAACTGTGCTCATTAGGAACCTGTATATAGACCACGAGGCTTGCTGAAATTGAAGAAGTTACTGATGAAGATCAAAGGCTATAGCCTTCAGTATGGATTATATCTCAGTATGGATTATACCTCAACATAAAGAAAACAAAAATCCTCACAACTGGACCAATAAGCAACATTATGATAAATGTATAAAAGATTGAACTTGTTAAAGATTTCAGTTTACTTGGATACACAATCAATGCCCAAGGAAGCAGCAGTCAAGAAATCAAAACAATGTATTGCATTGGAGAAATATGCTGCAAAAGACATCTTTGAAGTGTTAAAGATTAATGATGTCCTTTTGAAGACTAAGGTATGCCTGACTCACCATGGTATTTTCAAATGCCTCATATGCATGTAGGAGCTGTTTAATGATTAAGGAAGATCACAGAAGAAATGATCCATTTGAATTGTGGTATTGGTGAAGAATATTTAATGTACCATGGTCAGCTAGAAGAAGGAACAAATCTGTCTTGCAAGAAGTACAGCTAGAAATCTCCTTAGAGGCAAGATTGGCCAGACTTTAGCTGTCATACTTTGATTATGTTTTCAGAAGGAACCAATCCCTTGAGAAGGATATCTTGCTAGGTATATTATTGGTAAACTAGAGGAGCTCTGGTAGCCTAGTGCCTAAGGCACTTGACTGCTAACCAGAAGGCTGGCGGTTCAAACCCACCAGCCACTCCTCAGAAGGAAGAT